CCTAAAGTCCAAGCTCAAAGATCCCAAGAGTAAGCCAGGGACCCACTAAGGTCTTGTGAATTTTATATAAGAGGAGGAAAACATTTTCAAGATGTTTACTTCATCTCCTTGCAAGTACAGGAGAAAAGGGCTGTGATGGTGATTGCCTGTCCAAATTCAAGAAACCCATCCAAATGGTCAAGAGGAGTAAAGGGAGAAAGTTAGGATTTTAGGCCCTTGACAGAAATGAAGGACAGGAGCCTCAGGGCAGGCTATTCACATGTCCATATATGAGTCTATAGCAGGGGTGGGGAATCTTTTTTCTGCCAAGGGCCATTTGGATATTTATAACATCATTCACTTAATATAATTCACTTAATATAAACTTATGTTGCTATGAAAAAAGCTCCAAGATTTATTGAATTTTGAGTCCCACCTGCAGGGCCGGACGTTCCCCATCCCTGGTCTATAGACACCTTGCTTCACCACTTGGATGACTATGGCACTATAAGTCATCACCTTTGATAAATCACATAAATGTAGTCTATACCTTTGGTGGTAGCCCGATGCGGTTAAACCGTTGCCCAACTTTTGGCACTTTCTCTAGCGCAAGCCGCTTGCCCCTGGACTTCACTCGGTCAATGGCACTATAGTTGAAGGTCTCACTGGCCATGTGTACTACCTATAGTTGAAAGAGAAAAGATACCTAGGTTAGAGGTAGAGTCAAGTTTAAAAAACTATCCCACTATGGCAGAGAATAGCTTGATGCTCACCAATACTGTTCCTCTTCTAGGGCACACAGAAAGAATACATCTCTCAGTGTTCCTAGCAGTTTAGATGGAGTATATGACCAGTTTGGGCCAATGAAATGTTGACAAACCACATCACAGAAGAACCCTAGACACCTTGTCACTACATGGAATGACATGGGACCTCAGAGAGCTGCCTAACTGGCAAGATTCTATGATGTGAGCTAGAAATAAACTCCTATTATATTAAACCACTGGTTCAGAGGCTGTTACAGCAGCTGACATGATTTATACTGACTAATACAGCTACCTTCTGGATTAGGAGAAGATGGCCCAATGCCTGTTTCTCTCCAAATAAAAACAAATTGCGCCCTAGCCAGTTTGGCTCAGTGTATAGAGCATCGGCCTGAAGGGTCCCAGGTTCGATTCCAGTTAAGGGCACGTACCTTGGTTGCAGGCTCCTGGCCCTGGTTCAGGGCATGTGCGAGGCAACCAATCTATGTATCTCTCTCACATTGGTGTTTCTCTCTGTCTCTCCCTCTCCCTTCCATTCTCTCTAAAAATCAATGGTAAAAATATCCTCAGGTCAGAATTAAAAAAACAACAACAAATTGCAATTTATGCTATACCCTTTTATTTCCTTTTGAATTTTATATGATGTGCAATTATTCACATTCAAAAAGTAAACATTAAAGTTAATTTTAATTTTTAGTGAATTGTTTTATTTTTTTAATTTAAAATTTTTATTTATTAAATGTAGTGGGGTAACATTGGTCAACATGAATATATATGTTTCAGGTGTGGGTTTCTATGTTACAAGATCTGTATATTGCACCATGTGCCCACCACCCAAAGTCAAATCTTTTCCTGTCACCATATATTAGGACCCCCCTTTCTCCCCCACCACAATTAATATTTATGTAGACTATATCTGGAATATTACACAAGAAACTAATAATAGCAGCTGTCTCTGAGAAATGAAATTGAGTGGCTGGAAGACAGGGTTGGGAGGAAAGCTGAATTACTCTTCTCCATTTACTCTCCTGTGCTTTCTGATTTTAGCACTAGATACATGCATTGCCTATTCAAAAAAAAAATTAATGGGCCATCAGTGTTATACTTGATTGTCACATTGTGATGACAATCAAGTGTAATCCATAATCCATATGTACACCTATTATCACACTTATCACATTGCCTTGTGATCATCCATATGTATAGCTAACATCTTTCTTAAGACTAATGAAATTAGGGGAGGAAGAGAACATTTTACTCACATTAGCATTCCCAAATAGTGTCTGGCACATGTTCAAAAATATTAAGTGCATGAATAAATGAGTTATAAGCTTTTTTCAGAGTCAGCAACAATTGGATCTTCGCATATAAATATGCAAAATCAAATTTATAAGAAAATTCTTTTCCTAAGCCTTGCAAAATTCATTACAAATAAACTAATTATTTTGCCCATGAATGATAGAGATAGAAAGGAGCAAAATAATTCCCTCCTTCCCTCCTTTAACACATCCAACCAGTGTTAAAGGAGTACCTAAAATGTATGTTTAAGATATTGCAGAATGGCACTCATTGCCTTATAAATCGGGAAACTCAGGCCAGGAAAAAAGGGAAAACAGGGCTTTCCTAAGACTATCCTATCTTACCAGTTTACATGGTGAAACCCTAATTCTTTGGGCCATAAACCACCTTTTCCCACATCAGATTTATTTGCAATCACTCTTCATAACAGCCCACTTTTCCCTATGACTAATGAAATTATCATAACCTGAAACCTTACTGGAACAGAGAACAGAGACAGCTACCAAATGAAAATTAGAGCCTTACTACTTGAGGCTCCACTGCAACGTGAGCCCCATTTCCTTAGTGACAGATGCTCTGATCAACTGGCTAGAATCCAGTTGGGGTGGGGAGGCGGGGATAGGGTAGGGAGAGATGCTTCCTCTTACTATTCTCCAGCAGCTTTTTGTTAAGTTTGCAAAGTACTGTGTCATATCAGTCTCATAGAAGACAAGTATTTTTGTTGCTGCTGACTTTTTTTAAAAATATATTTTATTGATTTTTTACAGAGAGGAAGGGAGAGGAATAGAGAGTTAGAAACATCAATGAGAGAGAAACATTGATCAGCTGCCTCCTGTACACCACCCCTACCGGGGATGTGCCCGCAACCAAGGTACATGTCCTTGACTGGAATTGAACCTGACTGGAATTGAACCCGGGACCGACGCTCTAGCCACTGAGTCAAACCAGTTAGGATGCTGCTAGGATGCTGCTGACTTTTTAATGCAAAAAGTTCCTCAGGCCTCATATTAAGGTTCTCTTACCAGAGAAAGAGGAAGTTCAGAGATGGGGAAGAAAAGGATTGGGGGGGGGGGGGAGGTGACATTAATGATTAGAATAGTCATAAAAATACCACAGGCTAAGATTTATGGAGTGTTTACATTGTTCCAGGCACTAGGCTATATATGTTTTACTACTACATGGATGATATTGTATAATCTTAATAGCCATGCTATAAAACAGAAACTATTTATATCCCTATTTTTATAGTAAGGAAACTGAGCGTGAGGGGACTTCTAATGACTTGCACAAGGGCAACACACTAAAAAGCTGCAAAGCCAGAATTCGAACATAAGCCCTCTGATTCTTAGGCATGGCACTCCAGAAGTACAGGCAGAGCAGTCAGGCATAGGCCAAGGGCACTCTGTTATTTACTTAGTGAAGAAAGGATATTTAAAGTGATGGGCAAAGAGTATTTAAAAGAGTTTCTAGAGTTTAGGAGGGGCCTAGTAGAAGGATTTCAGGTTAGGCAGGAGGTCATAGGAGCATCAATTATTATACAAGAAAGTTAGAGTGTGCTATTTAACTATACACACACTGAGAGGATTGAAACATGAAGGGAAGGAATGAGCTGCACGAAGCCAGGCAGTGACTTAGATGTCAAATGAGAGCTACAAACCCCGAATTGTGATCAAACATTCTCTCCTTGACCTGAAGTTGGGGGATATCTGGTATTGTTTGTCTTTTTTAATGATTAAAAAAGAACATCACCAGAAGATATTTTTCCCATTGATTGCTAGAGAGAGTGTAAGGGAGGGAGGAGGGGGAGAAACATTGATGCAAGAGAGACACATCGATTGGTTGCCTCCTGCATGCTCCCCTACTGTGGCTGGGGAATTTGCAACTGAGGTACGTGCCCTTGACTGGGAATTGAACCTGAGACCCTTCAGTCTGCAGGCCAATGCTTTAACCACCAAGCCAAACCGGCCAGGGCTGGTATTGTTTCTCATTGTTTGATATTCATTCACCAATTCAGGTGGTCCTTATGGAATGCTTACTGTAAGTATAGTACTTTGCGAGGTGCAGAGAATGGAAGAAGGATATTTCAAGAAATGGTCCCTGGGCTATCCCTTTCACTTTGGCATATCGTAAACTTTTTCAACGGACAGACAGACTAGGAAGAAGAGAGAGAGTTCAGGGGGCTCCTTTGATCCCCATATTTACACAGATTCCACTGGGGTTCCAGGAGGAGTGCCAAACGAGTTTAAGGCTAGAAATTGATGCAAGAGAAAGACAGGATTTGAGTCTGTCCTGTGCTGGTGGCCCACTGTAAACAAGAATGTGGTTGGCTTAATTACATTTACCATAACTAGCAAAGGTTTGTTAACTATACTCAAGACGCAGTTAAAGGCATAGCCGAACAACTAAATGTCACCAGCAGGATGACCTGGGAGAACAGGTTGGCCTTGGATATGATTCTGGCAGAAAAAGGAGGAGTATGTGTAATGTTGGCGGCCAGTGCTGTACAAAAGAGGCTGAGAACCCTAAACTTGGGGCATAAGCATGCTCACTGAACCTAATGATCTCACTAACTTAACATGTAGCAGGGCTTAGGCCCAGGAAAACTCTTTCAAGGCAGTAAGGCCCTCTGGAGACAGGTCACTGACCTTTGTACGGGGTACAATGTTGAGTTCCAGTTTTTGGTCCACCAGGCTGGCCCCGGCCTCTGAAAGATAGCCCTGGTTGAGGACAAGGCAATCACGGCCAAAGCAGCAGGGACAGCAGAGCTTCTGCAGCCACTTGGTCCACTTAGGATTAAGGTGCCCATAGGGCTCTTCATTCTTGGGTTTGAAAACAGCAATGATTTTCTACACGGACAAAAGAAAAAGAGGATGTTAAAGGCAAGTTGATTAAAGTAGCTCACAAACCAGGTCAGCAGGAAAATTAAATTAAATTAAATTAAATTAAATAAATAAATAATAAAATAAAATACCATGGGGAAAAAGAAAAACAGGTTTGAAGGGAAGCTCTTTTCTCCTGATCAGTCTCTTTGCCCACAGAGGCAGCTAATTAAACCTGTGAAGAACACTTCAAGTAGGATTTTTTAATCTAGAAGCATGGTTCCAAGTACCAGAAATGAGAGGGCCTGGACAGACAGCCTCTACTTAGAGTTAGACACTGACTTCTCCCCAGCTTATAAGGGGAAGACACCAGCTTATGTATGCAGCTAGGAGACCCACTGATACAAAGGACTCTGGCCAAAGAAGTTGCCAAGTCTGGTATATGTGGCACAACCGATTGTAACACCATCAAACCCCAATTTCCAAGGTACATACATACACACTATTGCTCTGCAGCAATTATGCAGAATCAAAAAATTATCAACTGAAAGGAAATTAGTAAAGTATTATGGAATGAGGTTAAGAAAATTTCTTCATTGATGGTTGATTTCCTCTATCAGCCTTACTATCTCACCCCCTGGATGTTAACGAAATCTTACAATAAAAAGTTTAGAAATGACAAAATAAGAAAGCAAGAGAAAAGAATAATCACAGCAGTAAAAGGAATATGGTTAGAATGGGGTTCTCTTAAGTCATTCTGATAGGCAAGAGACCAGGACAGGAGAGGTCACAAAAATTAAAAACCCATCTTCTCTAGACGACAGTAACTTAATCCTCAAAGGTCCTTGGAAATAGGGGATGCTGCTGCAACCTAGAAACTATGGTCCTCCCTCCTGAAGATTTCTTCCCCAGGTTAGCTCTCTGAGGTTGTTTTTCCTCTTTCTCAGTCCTGTAGTCCCCCAAATCGGTCATTTCAAAGAAAGAGAAGTGAATATGCTATTCAAGTGATGCCACTTCTTATCATATGACTCTCCCTCTCCCCTCACCCCACAGCCAACTCAAGCTAGTCTGGGTCATAAGACATTTTCCTGTGGGTGTCACTTCCTGAATGGCAGGGCACATCAGAAAACATACACCCATCTGCCTACATTAATTAAGTACTCATATTAGGAATTGGCTAGGCACATGTCTCCAACAATATTTGGTCAATCACAAGGCCAGTTCCTTCAAGAGGCCTTGTGAGGATTTGAGAGGGCTAGAAAAATACAGAACTCTCTTCCTCCTTCAAAAAGAATCAATTTATTCTTAAAGATAAGTAAATTTACTTATCCACTGGAAAAAGTCAAATGCATATATTCGTATCATAAGTCAGAATTACATTCTTATTCAAAGTGGCTAGCAAGAGGCCGAAGTTAACAATCTTCCTCTCCATCTCTGCTCCCTGGAATCCTGGACTCTGAATCACACAGCTCACCACGCAGAGGATGACAGGTAAGTCCACTGTAACTCTCTGGAATCTGGGCAGTGAATCACAGGATAATGTGAGGCATGTCCCAGAACCCAACAGTCAGTTCAACTGAAGCACAATGTGGAGTTTAGCAAGCTGGTCCCCAAAAGGGAGAACAAGACATTCCTACTACTAGCAAGGCTGAAAAATACCAGGGGGGAGGCTTAACTACTTCCACTTAAAGAAGCAGAACCTGAAAGCCAAGAGTACAGCCAAGCATCATTTATAGACTAACCTTTCAAACCTGTTTCCTTCCTCCATCAGGAGAACCATAAAGCATTTCATCAACTCTAAAAGCATTAGTAAGCATGGTTATCTCAGTACAGCATGGGGTTTATTAATTATTAATGTCTAGACTGGCAAATGAGGGAATGGTAGGGTGGGAAGGATGAAGGAACTAAAGGACTTTCAGACAGAAGGGGAGATAAGTGCCTTTGATGACTAAATATAAGGCTTAGTCCAATTCAATTCCGTTAACACTTGCTCAGTACCTAGTTTGTGTAAGCACTCTGCAGTTTTCCTAAATAGATACATAAAACCACCCTGGCCTAATTTCCAAAGCACCCTGGTCACTTCACATAATCAACTGTGTTACCGACTACTCCAGAATACTCTCTTTACTCATAGGAAACCACTCAAATTAGAAAGACACCCAGCAGTATTTAGTTGAGAAAGAAAATGACCACTGCCTAATTTTTCTCACCGTCCTCTCCTGTAATATACTTTCAATTCCTTTATTACATTTAGGAGAAAGCTTCAGTTTGATACCAATATTTTTTAAACACCTTTCCTAACACCCATTTACTAATCCCCTTTTAACCAAGGGGGTGAAGTGCAGGTAGCCTAAGTAGGAGCAATCCACGAAGGTGGGGATAAAAACAGATCTGCACAAGGAAGCAAGAGGCCACTAAGTGGCTGGTGTCAGGCCCCACAACCAATTACTGGAACCTGGAATCCAAAGGGTTTCCTATATCTAACCACCAGCCACAAGGAAGAGGGTATTAGGTTATGCCAGTGGTTGGCAAACTACAGCTCAGCAAACCGCGGCTCACGAGCCACACGCGGCTCACGAGCCACACTCGGCTCTTGGGCCCCTTACGTGTGGCTCTTCCACAAAATACCGGCTCTTCCACAAAATACCGACTTCTGCGCATGGGCCACGAAGTTTCAGTTGCACTGTATGTGCGCGCCGCACGTGGTATTTTGTGGAAGAGCCACACTCAAGGGGCCAAAGAGCCGCATGTGGCTCGCGAGCCGCAGTTTGTTGACCACGGGGCTATGCTAAAGAGGCTTTTCCCTCCAGGGACCTAAATCTAACAGTTCAAGTACAGCACTCATATTACACAGTGGAATATACAATAACAACTTTTTTAAAATACATTTTATTGATTTTTTACAGAGAGGAAGGGAGAGGGATAGAGAGTTAGAAACATCGATCAGCTGCCTCCTACACATCCCCCACTGGGGATATGCCGGCAACCAAGGTACATGCCCTTGACCGGAATCGAACCTGGGACCCTTCAGTCCACAGGCTGACGCTCTATCCATTGAGCCAAATCGGTTAGGGCTACAGTAATAACTTTAAATAAGTTTTTTGTTTTTAACTTTGGTAAATATAAAGTGGACGGTTCTCAAACTTTTTAGTCTCAAGATCCCTTTAAACTCTTAAAACTTATTAAGGATCTCCAAAAGGTTTTGCTTATATGGGTAAAATCTGTATTTGCTATAGTAAAAATGAAAATGGAAATGTTAAAACTATTTATAAATTAATTTAATAATAAAAATAAACCCACTATATGTTAACATAAGTGACATGTTTCATAAAAAATATATTTTTAAAAACAATTTTTAGTGATAAGATTGGCATTGTTTTATTATTTTTATAGATCTCTCTAATGTTTGGCTGGATTCTCACATCTTCCTTAATATTAAGTCTGCTTCAATATCATACATCCTGGAGCCTCTGGAATCTCCACTGTACACTTATAAGGAAATTAGAGTGGAAAAGGCAAAGTCTTAGAATTATTATAAAAATAGTTTTGACCTGAGGATCCCAAAAGGGACTCCTAGAGGTCCTTGGCCACACTCTGAGAACTCCTGTATTCGGTATTAGAAGTTGGAAGGAAACAGCACTCCCTGACGTAGCTATTTAGGTAGAGAAGTCTTATTTTCATGTTAACTCTCACAAAAGAGAGGGGGATTCCTCCAAATATGGGACTGAAAGAAGATGGGATCCAAATAGAACATAGTGAAGAGATTAGCCTATATTTCTTTTCCTAGCCACTGCCTTCAACTCCACCTGCCTCACCCATTAGAACTTGTGGCCTGGGACAGCTCCCTATAACAGATGGTAGATACTTAAAATCTCGAGAACTACATTTATATATGATAATCAAAGTTGACTGCTTCTTAACATTTTAGTAAAAAAAAAAATTGATTCTATTTGAGGTCTTTATTCTTTATTTGGCTATCAGTGTGGTTCTCAAAGGTAAGGGCATCAGAATTTCTTTTTTACTATTACTTTTTTATTTTTAAAAAATATTTTTATTGATTTCAGTGAGGAAGAGAGAGGGAGAAACATCAATGATGAGAGAGAATCACTGATTGGCTGCCTCCTGCACACCCACATGGAATTCAGCCCGCAAAGCAGGCATATGCCCTGACCGGGAATCGAACCTTGACTTCCTGGTTCATAGGTCCACGTTCAACCTCTGAGCCACACCGGTCAGGCTGCATTTCTTGAAGACGCACATTCAATAATATTAACACACTTTTATATGTCAAAAATGGGAAAAAAAATACTGTGCTGGCCCTGGCCAGTGTTCTCAGAGGTTAGAGCATCGGCTGGAGCACCGAAGGGTCAAAGATCCAATTCCTGGTCAAGGGCATATACGTGGGTATCGGGTTCACTCCTCGCCCCTGGTAGGAGCACATGCAGGAGGCAAACAGTCAATGTGTCTCTCTCACATCAATGTTTCTCTCTCTTTTTACCTCTCCCTCCCTTCCACACTCTCTGAAAAATAATGGAAAAAATATCCTCAGGTGAGGGTTAACAACAACAAAAAAATTTGTACCGTACTGATTTCATGACAAACTCTTGGTGGATAAAGTATTTTTAGAGGTTGAAAATTATGATATAAGGCCAAATTCCTAGAACATGTGAGCGGTATCTGTAAAATTTTGAAGCAAATACCAATTAGGATTATCTATCTAATAAATGTACTATTCTCAATGGTCATGAAAGCATCTTTTCAAAATCATATGACTTTTGCCCTAGCTGATTTGGTTCAGTGGATAGAGCGCAGGCCTGGGGACTGAAGGGTCCTGGGTTTGATTCCAGTCAAGGGCACATGCCTGGGTTGCGGGCTCGATCCCCACTAGGGTGAGTGCAGGAGGCAGCAGATCAATGATTCTCTCTCATCACTGATGTTTCTATCTCTCCCTCTCCCTTTCTCTCTGAAATCAATAAAAATATATTTTAAAAAATCATATGACTTTTGCCTTACTCAATGCTAATGTACCCAAGAAAGCCTAACCCAGAGATCAATGGGCATATAGCTTAAAAAAACACTCTAAGCAGGAACCATGCCAAGGGATTTCAGGGGTCATAGTTCATTTAATCTTCTCAATAAACTAGTGAATCCATGCTATTCTATGATTCTTGGAAATATGAACATCTAGTATTACTAGCCTCACAAAACAGAAAATGCTCAGGAAATACTTTTGTAGGTGACTGAGTATGAGACTTGAAGTGCAAGGATGTAACTGAGGAGGGTAATAGGAGTACTATCTACCCTGACTTCTGACCTAGCATTTTCCATTTTACTGTTCCAGGTCCCTACTTGCTTGCCCTGAGGGAGAAACAATCCTAAATTGAGAAACGGAGTCAGGCCTGTTATCTTAAAAAAACTGTTGGGCTGTCTATCTCCAAATGTAATTGTCACAGAAACTACTGGTCCCCCAATCTCTGTTCCCCCTTCTTCGTTGGACACAGGAGCCCTGACTTTTAGCTGGGCAAAATAAAAACTATAGTTCCAGGCACTACTGCAGCTAAGTTCTGGACAATGAGATATAAAGAGGAGTCTCGGGCAACTTCTAAAAAAATGCCTTAAAAGGAGTGGGCATATGATCCCTCTCCCCTTTCTTCTTCCAAGTGGCTAAAAAGCAGATAAGATGTCTGCAGTTTGAATAGCCATCTTGGATCATGAAGTGGAAGTGATATACTAAGAATGGCTGATCAGCTGGATGGAAGTTTGCATCCCCAATAAAGTGAAATGCCATCTTTGAGTGGCCTATAGACTTCTTTTATAAGTTAAATGTACTTTTATTTGAGTCATTTTTTAAAATTTTATTTATTGATTTTAGAGAGAGAACATTAATTTGTTGTTCCACTTATATATGCATTCATTGGTTGCCTCTTCTTTCTTAAAAAAATATATTTTCATTGATTTCAGAGAGGAGGAGAAAGGGAAAGAGAGAGACAGAAACATCAATGATGACAGAGAATCATTGATTGGCTGCCTCCTGCATGCCCCACACCAGGGATTGAGCCCACAATCCAGGCACGTGCCCTTGATCAGAATCAAATCTGGGACCCTTCAGTCCACAGGCTGACGCTTTATCCACTGAGCCAAACCAGCTAGGGCTCAAGTCATTATTATTTTAAATTTTCTATGCACACAGTCAAATTTATTCCTAACCAAAATAGTAGCTGAAAAGAGAAATCAGGAATTCAGATGACACTAACTCTGAGGCAGCAGAGTAGAGTATTTAGGAGAAAGAACTCTGGAGCCAGTTCATCAGTGTCTGTATCCTGCCTCCCACTTACTAGCTGTGAAATCTGGGCCAATTACTTATACTGTGTGCCTTAGTATCATTATCTGTGGGGATAATAATAGTACGTACCTATGAGGGTGTGATGTGAATTAAGTGAGTTATTACTTGTAAAGCATTTAAAACAGTACCTGGAATATAATAAGTACTACCTAAGTATTTGTCAAGTAAAATAAACTCATTTAGAGCAGGGCCAAAGATGGTAAGACCAACTACAGTGAGTCTGTGGGCCATTCTGACACACCACAGGATTTAGGAAGTGGTCCTCTGCTCTAAACCACATTCACCTCAGTGGGAGCAGGATGGTTACATTAATAAGTTTTGTCAGGGCACATGTGTTTCAACATCCCCTCTAAGAAAGGACAGTGGTCAGGAAATTAAGGAGACTGGGATCCCACAAATCACCAAGAAATCACACCAGAGTCTGTCATTCTCTGTGGCCCAAATACTGAGATAGTAGTACTTTATCTGCCAGGGAGAACTGAGAGATCATATTATTCCCACCTGTCAGAGTACCTGATCACTTAGCTGATCTGATACACTTCCAACAGAGCTGTAACAGTATTGTGACAGAAAAACAAAAACCTTCCTCTGGCTCCTGTATCTAGCAAAAATAATCAGTCAACAAGGTAACTAAAAACCACTCATATGTTATCTTAGATGTCATTCTGGCTCTCCAATAAAAAGATGAAAGCATCTTGCTAACATTTAGACCTCAGAACACCTAGCTTTCTTTTCTTCTAGAAGTGATGGTTCCCCTTTGAGCTTTTCATTTGACTTACTGCTCTCTTATTTGAGGGACTTAGAAATACCTATTAATCTCAAAGCTTTCTCCAACTTAGTCTATGTTAGAGTTGATGGCAGATTTGCTCTCTGGATCTTGGTGATAATTCAGGATGACAACACCTGGGAGAATAACTAAATCATTCAATGAACCTAACCAAGAGTTACAAGTCACAGCATATCCAAGCCACTCAGCACTCCTATCAAAATAGCACCATCCATTTAAAGAGTTCATACGGGAGAGGTGCAGGGGAAAAAGAGGAGCTTTAGCACCCATCATTCTAACAAGTATAACAATAACATTTTTCCAATAAACCAATCTGGCCCATCTGATAACTTTGGCAAAGAATACTTGGTATTTTTTGACCCACTGATAGTCCAATGACACCTCTGCAGTTCTTAAAAGAATAAAGGTAGGTCACTCTGAAAGACCACCAGACATTCAAACTGCAAACCAGGAAAATCCATCAGATTGCTACTGCCTGCCCTCACTCCAACTACTTCAAGCTGGACATCTAAAATCTCAGCTGACTGCTTTCAGAACTCAGAAACTGAGATTAAAATCTGTTCCGATCATTAACCTTTGTTTCTCTTTTGTTTCCACAGAACTGACTCTTATTAAATAACTGTGTAATAATAGGCCTAACTTTGAGAGCCTACCTGCATCACTGCCTCCTGAAATAAGACAACTGTTTAACTAAACTGACTTATTTCCAAGTCTGAGAGACTGGTTCAAAAGATGATGCAATCTACCAACTCAACTTCTTGAGCGTTTCAAAGGCAGGACTAAAGGGGAGCAGATTATACTACCCAAAATGTGTCACTTTTGCGTGTGGATTGTTTGAGCTGAAGGCAAGCAAGACCTGGCAGTCTCAGGAAAAAACTTTTACCTCCCTTTTAACTGCCTAAAAAAACTCAGATAGGGGACCTGGCCCAGAAAGAGAGCTATTACCAGAGAGAATTTTTTTAGGACTTACCTACATGGCAGGTAAAATACCTGATTAGCAAACACCTGCTCTTCTTAACTTCCCAGTGAATCACCCTCCTCCCCTTTGAAGCTCCAGCCCATATCCCTCAGCTGAGACTGCATATAAATCTCAATTGCCTGACTGCCTTTGGATCACATATGTTTATGGGGCTCCCATACCTTAGGAAATCAAATTTGTCTTTCTCATGTTAAAAAAATAAATAAAAATAAAGGTCATCTCTCAGCTGCCCTGATCACTCTATGCCCCATCCCATCCCCGTCCTCCTTTATACAAATAAATGCAAGGGACAAAATAAAGGTCAGCAAACACTTCGCCTTCGCTGAAAAAGCTAACTACGATCGTCCTGGGAGAGAAATGAAAGTAAGAAGGCAGCTGACAGCCCCGTGATTCTAAATCTCCATTCTAAGTTTGAGGAACCATAAACATTGTTGAACAATTTCCCAAAAGAAGTGAGCAATACCCAGACAGATGGAAACTGGTGATTCCACCCACTCTGTCACCATCGTCTGCCAATAGGAGGCCTGGGGAGGCGGCAGGAGACATCCCCACAGCACAGAGGCTGGACCTGCACCCTCAGAGCCCCTCCCTGATGGGGCGTCAACAAACAACTGGTTTGGTCCCAAAAGAGGGAAAGACGGGCCCAGACCTCAATCTGCAAATCTGTAGGTGAAAGCCCGAATGCACTTTACCGAACCTCCTAGGAAGCAGCATCTCCCCGCGCCTCTCTGTCCAGAAGCAGATCGCCCCGCCGCACAGCTGGGCCCTCCTCCTGTATCTGGTCTATTTCCTCTTTTCCGCTCACTCCTCCCCCACCAAACAGGTTCTGATTTATTTCTTCATTCCGCAGAGCTTCTTCACCTCCAGTCCCCGTGGCACTCCAAAACCCTGCCGAGGGGCTCCGCACTGGAAAGTTTCTCCCTTCTGCGACCTTTCGTTCAGCCCTCCGCCCCCCGCCTCCCCCCGGCCGTGCGAGGCCCCAAACTCCCCCGGCCAGGCCCACCGTCCCCCCAGCCAGCGGGCTCGGTCGCCACCCGGCTCTCACCCCCTGAGGGTCCTTGACGAAGTAGCTTCCGCTGGAGCCTTGGTAGATGCGCTCGGGGAAGATGCAGCGCTCGATGGCCACTTCGGCCTGTCGCACCACCACCTCGAACTCCGGGTCCTCGGGAAACTCGTTCCGTTCCCGGTGGGCCTGCGCGGCGTGAGCAGCGGCCGCGGCCTGCGCGGCCAGGGCTTGGGCCTGAGCCGCCACGGTCTGGGCTTGACCCTGGGCCGCGGCACCCCGGGCCCGATCCAGCAGTGGCTGCCGCTCCCTGTCGTGGCCTGGCGAGCCCGGCGGTGAAGGGGCCGGGCCGGTCGCCGCCGCCACTCGGATCGCGCCCCCCGGCACCTGCGGAAAGTGAGCGCCCGAGCCGGACGGGAAGGTATAGTCCGGGGGTTGGGCCCGCTCGGGGGACACTAGTGGGCTAGTCTCGTCCATCCCTCAGGCCGCCGGCTCCCGGACCCGGCGCGTAGAGCACAGCCGAACTCCGGGCCGGGGCCAATCCACAACACCCCCAACCTCCGCCCGGCCAACCAGGTCGCGGTGCCTCTCTGGCCCCGCCCCACCTCCCTGTTTACTTGGTGACGAGTAGGCACAACCCCCTCGCGCGCGACAGTAGCCAATCAGAATCAGCGCCTACGCAATCGCGCTCCGCAGAGTTTGCACATCACCTCTCCGATGACTGCGCATGCTCCAGGAGCCGACCTCGTGTCAGACACGCCCTCCGCTCTTAGCTTCCAGTTGCTGACCCATCTTTGGGAGTTTTCAATAAAGTAACCTACCTAAGCAGTCACTAGTTATTGAGTGCCTACTGTGAACCCACTGAAAGACTGGAAAAATCTAATTTTTGCCCTAGACGCTTTGGCTCAGTGGATAGAGCATCGGCCCAAAGACTGAAGGGTCCTGTGTTTGATTCCGTTCAAGGGCATGTACCTTGGTTGCAGGCTCAATCCCAGTTGGCTGCATTCGGGAGGCATCCAATCAATGTGTCTCTCTAATATCCATGTTTCTATCTATGTCTCTCCCCTTCCCTTCCACTCTCTCTAAAAATCAATGGAAAAATATCCTCAGGTGAGGATTAACCAGAAGAAACGAAAAATCTAATCTTTGTATCTGCAGTCATTCAATCATGCACTTAGTCATTAAATATTTATTGAGGACCTACTATGTTCTAGGTGCTGTAGAGATAGTTGTGAAGCAAAGAAACAAAAATTCCTTCTCTATCTAAATAGAAAGGTTTTAAAAAAATCTCAGTCCTCACGCAGTTTACACAGTACCTGCCACAAAGCTCAATGTTGCCGAAACCGGTTTGGCTCAGTGGATAGAGTGTCGGCCTGCGGACTGAAAGGTCCCAGGTTCGATTCTAGTCAAGGGTATGTACCTGGGTTGCGGGCACATCCCCAGTAGGAGCTGTGCAGGAGGCAGCTGATCGATGTTTCTCTCTCATCAATGTTTCTAACTCTCCATCTCTCTCCCTTCCTCTCTTTAAAAAATCAATAAAATATATATTTTTTTTAAAAAGCTCAATGTTTATTTGTTAATTGAGGAAAGATATGGTCCCATTAAACTAAAAAAAAAATCAAAGTAAGGGTGTTTTATTTATCACAGTAAAACCTCAGTATCTAGACACAGTAGGTGCTCAGTACATTTTTATCAGTGGTAAAGAGAAGAATGTTATAGTCCTTACCCTCAAGCTGAAGACATACAACTCTCTGAGGCAGTAGGAGAAAAAGAGCCAACAATCAGAGCTGAAAACTCCATAAATTAAGTTTAGCGGCTTGGGGGTATGCGGGAGAGTCAGAAAAAGCCTTAAGTGGGGCATGTTCTATGAACTAAGTCTTAAAGGAAGAATGTGAATAAATCAATTGGCGAGGGGGAGGGAGTTTGGAGTTTGAACCCTGACTTCACATTTATTAGTTATTTTGTACAAGTTATTTAACTCTGAAAGCCTGTTTCATCATCTATAAAATGGGAGTAATCATCTCTTCCTCAATTGATTAAATAAGAATCACGATAAGTATGTAAAGAATTTAGCACAGTGCTTATCTATATACTATATAAAAGCCTGAATGACCGAATGACCAGTCAACCAGTCGCTAAGATGCACACGGACCACCAGGGGGCAGACGTTCAATGCAGGAGCTGCCCCTGGTGGTCAATGCACTCCCACAGACAACCTCCCAAGGCCCCAATCGGCCCTATCCCTGGCCAGGCCTAGGGACCCCACCCATGCATAAATTCGTGCACTGGGCCTCTAGTTAGTATATAAAAAGGTGTAAACAAATGGTGGATTTTTACGTACCATTTGTTGAGATTACTATTGATGTTGTTATCATTTTTGTGCTCAAAGTAACCAGCAGAGAGAGATGTGGGTTTTCACAGCAGGTGACCAACTATATAGTAACCAATATTTCACAATCATTCTGAAGAACAGAGTGGAGAAATAAAATGGAGTTGCTATAGTCAAACTGCTGAGTTACTAGGATCAAGTCAGTTGAGGCATGAGGAAATGATTCTCTTCTTGTTTTAACTAGCTTGAAAACAAACTTTTGAACTTTTCAGCCCTGCATCAATGCCTGTATATATCCAATTCATTGTGTGTCAGTACCTGGACATATACCGGACATCCATATAATGCCTGAAGGACTCATGTATCCGTACTACTTACATAGACCTGACATCTATTATCTCTAGACCACAGATGTGACCAGACCTCCCCATGCCCATCTTCTAGGCTACCTAGCATCCATCATCCAGAGCTCCTGACATCTGACTGACAACTACCTTGGACCACTTCCAGGGCTAAGAATGCAGAACCAATTATTCTGAAGAATGCACTTCACTATAAGAACTCTTAACTTTTCTTGCTTCTTTGGAACACTTCTGGGTTTTTGCCTGGTTGTGTTTCTGGTTTGCAAACCCTATGACCCTTGAGTAAATCTTTGTCATTTATTTCTAGCCAAAGCCTGCAGACTCCTTTTAAGTTCACTCAACAATTCTTTCTTGAATCAAATTGTTGCCACAGGTAACCAGAAGTACTGAATTGTTTAATTATATGATGGAGGTGTCTTAAACTTTTATTTTGCCAAATAAACCATTCTAGCAAAGCCCCATACAGATGGTTCCATTACACCTTTCAGTTACAAGATGTGTTTCCCTTTCCTACCCAAACATCAAATAATTAAGTATCACTTGTCTCTTGTATCCTGGGGGCCATAGCCACAGAGATGACTTCCTATATTATTCATCTTATTTAGCTCTTAAGCTTCAAGTTATGGTTAAGGAAAGCAAGATTTAGAGTTCTCCCTTTAATTCTGAGGTTTTTTTTCCTATGGAAAACTCTCAGGATTTCTTTCTGTACCTACCTCTTAGAACTTGACTTTTTTTTTTACTGAAAAGAGCACCAATACATTGACACTATGAAGAGCTAGCACTTACCAACCGGTAAGCAAGTGCCTGATATTATTTTAAGTGCATCACATGGATTAAGTCATGTAGCAAGCATTACAGCCTCTGTGATGTTGGAAGCTGAGTAAAGTAACTTGTCCATGGTCATGAAGCTGATAAATGGCAGAACTGGATCCAAAACCAGGCTGACTAGCTCCATGCTTTTAACACTACTAGTATATTGCTTCTTATCAAATACCTCTATGAAATTTTTCTTATATTTACCCTCTTTCTTTCCATCTCCACTGATGCCACATTCCAGTATGTCTTAGCTACATTCTTACAATGGCTTCTGAGTGTGTTTCTCTGCTTCCAATTTCTCTCTGATCATCTCTGGGTATCACTGCCAGATTAATTTTATTACAACACTGGTTTCATTGTGTCACTGTTTTGATTAAGAAACTGCATTTTTTATTGTGGTAAAATATACCTAATATTATCACTTTAACCATTCATAAGTGTACAATTCAGTAACATTAAATATATTCACAATGTGGTGTAACCATCACCACTATCTCTACCCAAAACTTTTTTATCATCCCAACAAAAACTCTGTACCCATTAACCAATAGCTTCTTCTTCCTCTAACTTCTGGTAATCTCTAGTCTACATTCTGTGTCTATGAATTTGCCTATTTAAGAAACTACATTTTGCAAACCATATCTCCTCCCTAATTTTTCAGGACTCTCCATAAATTGACCACAATCTATTTAACCTTATTTCTTCATGTTTTTTA